CATGGGCTGTAGCCTGCCAGGCTCCTCTGTCCATGGGATTTTCCAGGCAAGAATACTGGAGTGGGTTGCCATTTCCTCCGCCAGAGGATCTTGCCAACCCAGGGACTGAACCCCTATCTCTCGTGTCTCCTGCATAGGCAGACAGATTCTTAACCACTAAGTCACCAGTATTATGATTATCATTCCCATTTACAGATAAGGAAATTGAGGTTGAGAGAATTTCACTTACTTGTCTGAAAAAATAACTTAACCATCACACTCAGCCTCCCATTTAAATTTGCACTCTAACTGTAATTTTCTCACCTTTTAAAAGCTTATATTCATGATTATGCATACATAGTATCTGCATATTTGTAGCAAATGTTTAGAGCTCAATCAATAGACTGAACCATAGGAGTTGTCTTGCCAGTATAAATCCATTTTGAAATCTAACCAGAAGTTCTACTTCAAAATAGAAGTGGGGGGAAAAAAAGCTGGGGAGTGGGAAGGAGGAAGGGCCTGTAGAGATGAAAACATACATTTTCCCTTCTCTAAACAATCTGAAAAAGAGCCAGTAGAGATGAGTCTGGTCTCTATTTTTGATGAAGATACAGATAATCACACACCATCACTATTCTCACAAACATCTGCAGTACATCTCCTATCCTTTGGCCACCTTCAATACCATCAGTGGTAAACCACCACTTTCCTCACACCTGATGCTTTAATTTCCATTCAGCCCCACTCTCAAGTAACCTACAATCTAAAATTTTTTTAAAAACTGTTAAGCAAATAAAGCTACAGGCAAACCACTCCCACCTTTCCATCCAATCAGATCATCACTCTGCAGCCTCTCTATTTAGAAATTCTGGAGGCACTACCATCCTCTCTAATTTCTATTACTACCAAAAATAAACCACATTTTAAGCATCAAAGCTTTCATTCAACTCTGATTGTAATCACTAACTGAAAATGCATATAACTGAAACATGTATTCCACTGGTAACAACTGCCTTTTCAAATCTCCTTTATTGGAAGCCAATGAATTTTTCTTAGCACAGGTGGGTTAGAGGAGCTGTAACCCCTTGCTCCCCACAGGTATTTCTAGACCATTCTCTCTAACTGTTTCCAAACAGCATCTTCTCTTCTGAAATGCATGCCATTAATTTCTGCTTCCTATGTGAAGTTCTCCTTGATTTCCTACCCTAGAAAAATTTCTCCTTCCCACTTATTTTTACAACCAGGCAACAAATTCCTAAGTGCACAGGATATTTTATACAGCAAACTCCTGGCCTCTGAATCCCAATTTGTCAATTGCTCTGTGTAGGGGGTGGGGGGAGTGGGGGGCTGATTCTGCTAATAAGGAAGTGGTGAAAACCAGGGATACTTGGAAACATAACTGGAAGAAGACTACACAACAATGTCTTCAGAGTGATGAAGTGGGGCAGGGGAGCAGGTCGGGGGCGGAGATAAATTTTCTAAGTAAAACCAAGTCTTGAGCAGCAGAAGCACAAGAGGCACTAAGAATCTAGCCCCAAAACAAAATACACTATTTTTCAATGAAAACCCCAGTGTTTTCTGGGGTGTTCAAAATATAAACTGCCAACTTTTGAGGAATTAATCATGGACTGCTACTAGAAAAAGTTATCTGCTCAGCAGAGAAGAAACTTGTTCCTAGGATTAAGAACCTTCTCATCCTCTACCAACCCCTTTCATTTCCAGGTAGTGCAAGTTTGATAAATATGTGCATATCCCCAAGAAAGACTTTTGACTTGCTGAGGTTCTTTGCCTGGGAACATAATTTTCAGAGTTAGATTAGCCACATATTTCTATAACCTTGGCCCAAGAGTGCTTTGTACATAGTTCACCACCAAACAAAAGCAAAACAAAACTTGCATAATTTGATCAATGAATTCACTAACACACACTCTGTCAGGAAGCCAAGAGGCCTGATAGCAAAAGAGTAATTGTAAGGAATGTTTGGAAATCTAAAGGAGACGAACACCTGTGTGAAATCTATCAGATACATTAATAAAACAAGTTCGAAAACTACTGACACCAAGTGATAAAAACGAGGGTTCATTAGAATTGTCTCTATAGTTCTGTGTGTGTTTGGAAAAGTCCATAATCAAAAACTCAAAAAAAAAATTAAGATAGAAACCAATTTGAAAAAGCTCTCAGAATTCCTTCTGTCTTAAATGACAATGAGATGAACCGAAACATAAGCTTAGCATGTTTAATACCTTCAGAAAACCCCAACGAATATAAATGAGTGGGAGGAAAAGCAAAACATAAAGCAGGCTTTTCTTTACTGAAGCCAGGTAAAGTCAGCTTTCTTTAAAGCATAAATTCAAAAGCTAGTTCCTTAGGTTGAGAAATGCAGGCCAGCGTGGAACCACTGCTGACAGACTGCACATGGAGAGGCAAAACAGGATGCCACCCTCTCTGAACTGCCCATTTCTTCTCTTTGATTAATTCTTTATCCCAGCAAGACAGGGAGAGGGCGGGAGATGGGCATAAAATTTCCTGAGCAGCATTCCCCACCCACTTGCAATGCATTTGTCATGATCTACATCATCACACACTTGCAAATTTATAAACTCAGAGGTTCATGCCTAAGCTTTGCAGGACACTGATGAGCTTAATTTAATACTATTCTACTCTTTTAAAAAAAAAAGTGAAGGACAGGAAGGAGGGATGGAGAGGAGGAGGGGAGAGGGAGAAGAGTTTTCTCTTTTAAGGACAAATTTATAAGCAGAAAAATAACTACAATCTATAAAATATAAACAAAACTTTTACAGGAAAGTTCAGGAGCCATAAGTCAATGCTGCTTTCCTCTGATTATTTACCTATATATATACAGGTACATATGTATATATATGTAGATATATATAGGTTAGTATATAGGTTAAAGTATAGGTTTATATATATTAACCTAAACTTTAAGGTAGAAATCACAGATCTGAGTTCAATTCCCTCATAAATTACAAAGATGAATATGTTTTACTTTTGCAGCAATAACAAATATAATTATGTGGGGAGAAGGAAAGCATATTATTAAAATTTTTCCTGGTTAATTGTAATGACAGAATTCCCCCCCTCCAAACAATACGGAGAGAAGTTCATTGTAAGATTCATAAGATTAAAATTATTTTAAAAGAAACCAGAGAAATAAGATAGTAATTCACATTTTACATGAATCAATAGAAGCCATTTTTAAATAGGTATTATGAACACTAATAACTTCAGCAATTAGCACTTGAACATTTTCCAACAATAGGGAACACTAGGAATGAAGTTATAGTCATCATAGGTATATTTTTATCTTTCAGTAGGTGTTACTTTGTATAGTAGGTAACATCAAAAGAGCTTGTGTGTGCTGTATACATAGCAGTACTATAGGTTGTAATTTTCAGAAGCATATGAAATATATACATGTGAAATCTCTCTGATGTATCATAAGCAATCATTATATTCTGAAATCAATTTAAAATTACAGGCAAACCAGAATGTAATGCCAAGATGATAGTATCAGAAAATCATAAGAACATACTCTAAACAATAAAATTACATTTGGGAAAAACAAAAATAAATCTATAGCCATCATACTAACCACATTAAATACTTAGAAAATAAGCAAAACATAGTTTAAATATATTCACAGGATAAATATGTCACTGGATGTGCGCTTATAAATTGCAAAACTAACAAAAATCACCCTCAAATGTAAAATTTTGCTTATTATTGTTAGGTAGTTAGAATAGGGGAAAAGAGTCCAAAATGGTGGTGGCTAAAAGACCTGGAAGGGAAAGACCACGAAAATAGAACAAAGGAAGGTCCGAGGACAGGAGTGAGGACCTCAGGTAAAACAAACAACGCTCCTGCCTAAGCCCAATTTACATAAGACAGGCCCAGGGACAGAGAAACATCTAAAAAGAGGAACCAAAGCCCTCTTTTCCCCTTTTTGCTCCCTCCCTCTCCCCCGAGAGATGCGGCGATCTTCTCTTTGCGTCTTTGGATCCACATGCCCTCACGCCTCAAAGATGGATTTTCCTGCTATTATCTAAATAATTAGAGCTGTAACACTGAGCTGTAACACTGATTTATTTAAGAGCTATAACACGGTCTGTTTGAGACCTGAGAGTCTGTCCTCCAAGAGCTGTGACCGCGCCAAGGGGCTTTAATGTCCATCATCCCAAATTTTTGTTGTGACGAGACAAAGAACTGAGGAGCATACACTCGTGTGACATTATTAAAATATATCAATATATTAAAACATTGATAAAATATTTAAACAAATCAAAACACACAGTATGGCAAAGTAAAGAAAGCAAACATGATAATAGTGCAGGACATATTGATTCCTTTATCCCTGTCCCAGGGTAGACAAGAATCACCCAGTGCATTCTGTCTCTCTGAGCCTAAACAAACCCCAGAATCACTTACAAAAAGAGCACTCAGATAACCACTGCCAATAGACCATAATGAGATCTTAACTTACACATATTTTATACTCCTAATCTAAGATTTGAGTGACTTGAAACATTTAAACAAATTTTTAGGCAATTTAGGAAATCCTTTTTAAATCAGAAATGATTATATCTTCATTCTATTTAGAATTCACTAAATCAAGAAAAGGATTCCAATAATTTTTCCACTTCAAAAGAGTTTCCATTGCTGAAACCACCACCACAAAACTAAATGAACTCAACAGCAAACTTAAATCCATTAGTAAGAAATAATAGAACATGTTACTCTTTCTTAAGGAAAGAAAGCACACTCTTTTGAGGGTGTGCTTTCACAGCTAACAGTGAACATTCTTGGCTGTTAATAAGCATAGTGATAAAGCAGAAAAAGTAATACTCTTTTCATTACTAGCAATACATTCTCCCATTTTCTACTCATAAAGGCAGGGAAGTGATAAAGACATGAAGAGTCCTGGATTTTCATGGATCAACAACAAAATAAGGAGTAAAGGGTTGATTTATGGCATTAGCAAAGAAACCAAAGTTAACACCTACTTTTGCAAAGGCTTCAAAAATGTCAAAGGAAGGTGGCAGCTGAGAAGCATCCTGTATTTCTTCTCTCATGAAATGTTGAAATGTCAATGCAAGTTGCCTGAGGCCCTCTTTCTTATCTTCAGTCAGTTTGTTAATATCTTTTTTAAACAGAAAATAAATAGCACTATCATACAGAGAACTTTCAGTGGATAATTTTCAGGTATTCAGCGGTAGCTATTAAGCCAGAAATTTCCTGCCCTAGATTTCATTCTAACAGAGATTAGATGTTTGGCAGAAAACAACAAAATTCTGTAAAGCAATTATCCTTAAATAAAAAATAAATTTTAAAAAATGCCTATCTTTTTATTTTTTGACAGCTACAAATCATTATATATACGTTACCAGTTAAATTCTCAAAATAAGATCAAACACCTAGCAAAACAAAATACACACACCCACATGAAAAAACAGTGAAACCAAAATCAGTAATGATGTCTGTTAGCAGATTGTCTACATTCTCCTGCACACATGCTCAAACCACCATAAATGCTTATTTAGTCAGTGAATTTAAGCAGACTTTTTCATGAAACAATTTACAATCAGGACATGACTGATTACCATTATCATTTTAAAGGCAAAAAAAACCAGAAAGCAAAAATTGACAAGTTTGGTTAAATTAAGCTCAAATTGATGATATGTGTCAAGGAGAAAGTATATCAAGAAGAAAACATGGATCAACCAAAGAAATCACATCTTCAAGTTCTTTAAAGAATGAATAAACAAGATATATAAGGTTTCCATTCAAACAGAAGGCGAAAGTTCCAAAGCCAGTATCACTCCTTGAAAAACTCGTTTCATTTATACCACAAAGGGTTGTGAAGGCTAAGAGTGCACAATTCAATTAATAACATTTGGAGCATTTCACTTAAGGCAGCATGAATGATACTGCTACTGAGCAGGGCTACTGTTCATAGTAAAACTCACTTTAAGAGATGTTAATTATCTTGCAGTAATATAACAAGAAAAAAATGACTAATTAGTTCTCTATTAAAACTTGAAAACATACATCAAGATGAACTACACCATTACTCTGTTGCTCATGTCAGGTCTACATATTTTCTTTAAATTACTTGTGCAACAGAACAATTAAGCCAATGATTTCTTAAATAATAATTTATTTTCATTGGCCCTTAGGATTCCATAACCATAAATCTGTACTAGATCATCTTATTTGTCTCCATCCAGAAATGTTAAACTGTATAGCACATTTACTCCACAAGCTCTTGCTATTTTTGAGCTGAAGTCATTTGCAACTTCACTGAAGAGGATCTGTGCCAATATGAAAGAAAAATAAACCTTACATTCACTGAACACTCAGATGCAAAGCCTCTCAGTGTTCTCAGGGAGGTTGGCCACTGCCATGGTAGTTTAGGAGCGGAATAAGACTCAGTGCTGTCAGAGAGCCGAAGTCATCGGGACCTTCTATTTTCCATATTATCTAAAGGACCAGTGAACCTAAATGTTCCTTGGAGCCCCCCTATTCATATTACTGTTCCCTGACATCAAAAAGAAGCCAAAAGTGAAAGAAGAGAACAATGGAGGGGAAAACAGAAGTGAAATTATTTTGTCAACTTGACTAAGGGTTATACTCCCCTCACTGCCTAACTTAAGACCCCTCTATGGCCAAAGCTATCCTGGAATAAATTAAATAAGCTAATGTGTCAGTCTACATAAAAACTTGAAAAGGTTTGTTGCCTCAGAAACAGAGACAGAAAAACAAAGGCAAAAATAAAGCAGCTCATCAGCTCAGCAAATAAATTATAGAACTTTTAAAATGCTGATAGGCAATCACTTACTTGACTCCAGATCATAAAATGAGTAAAGTTTTTCCGATTCAGAGGGTGTTTCTTGCATCTATGAAGAAAGAAGGAAAACACCAAAAACAATTTAAAGTGTTCCAATATATACATGAATATGTTTAGGTATCTTTAGATATTTAAATGCAAGTCTGTTAAAAAGACTATTTTCTATATATTCCTTCTCTTCATCATGTTAAAATGTGTTGCAACTTGACCCACCAGTTTAATTTCTAAACACAAAATTCTTTTACAAAACATTTCCATACTTTTATTTTTTCCCCAGTTCTACCACTGACTTGGGTCATTGCAAGGATTTTATTATTAATTATTAGAGAAAAGCAAAGACAGATGAATAAAAAAAATAAGAGTTTATTACAAAATGTGCAACCTTGGGCATGTTACTTAACCTTGAGGCAAGAGGAGTCAATTTCCCTATGTGAAACACACATAAGAAGTAATATAACACTGAGTTGTTGTGGGATAAAGTATGTTTAACATATAAAGCAATTAGCACATGGCCTGGAAACAGTAAGTGCTCAATAGAAGGGAGCAATCATTATAACTGCTTTCTATTAGATTCTGACTCAGGAGGTTGGGGGTGGAGATTGAGAACTAGTACCTTGGGTGATTCTGAAGCAACCTATTTCTGCTCTAACGGTGGTTCTCTATCTTTTCAATATTAATAAAGTTGACAAAGTTCAGACTCAAATATCATATTATTATACTTTTAATATAAAGTAATTAAAGGAATGCATAATAACAAAGTTGATTTCAATTTACTAAAGCTTTGAAATAAATTTGTGTATTATTGACTTTAGTTTAATACAATACATACATTTGAAAATAGCAGTAAGTATATGTGACAGGTGTTGTATAATCAGTCCAAAGACAATACCCATTTGGTATTCTAAATTCATTTTTTAGTACTGATGTAGCTGATATAAAACACTGCACTGGTTTTAGATATACACTTATACATTCCTAAAAACCCCTATAAAATTTTATTGCCAAAAAAGTTAATAAATAACAGGACAGAATAGAGCTGAAGCTTGCAATAAAGAGATACATGCTAAAGCCTAGGAAAAATAAAAGCTGGAAGGTATTACCACAGAGTGATTTCATAAAATCCACTAGCCACTTTGGCAAAGTAGGAAAAGGGATGGGAGAAACAATTTCAATGGATGTTAGCTTTAAAAAACAAAACAAAACAAAACACTCTTCCTTCAATCATCTAATTAAAATCTTACTTAAAGAAGCAACCCAAAAAATGATATACTTGCCCTGTGCATTAGTTCTCAGTAAACAGCAATAAAGGCAATGTAATAGGAATCACTAACATCTCATGCCCCAAACATAGGACCTTATGTCTCCATTCCCAGGAGAATACACACAGGGCCTTCAAAAGGGGGGCCATGTACTTCATCACTGCCACCAATGCTGGGATTAATAGAAAATAGCAAGTTTTGTCTTAAGATACTCCCTGGAATAATCCACCTTCTACTTTAACACAGACTTAAATTTAGCCTTAAATATGAATACTACATGCAATTGCAAGTGCTTATGTTAAAACCCAAGCATATTTCGCAAGTTTTATACTCACAAGTTTGAAAACAACTCTGCCAAGTAGTCGGACAGAGTCAGGAGGGTATCTGGGTTTGCAGCTTTTAAGGCATTTGCATTCTCGCTTGTGGTCCTGCCAAGCTTTTTTCTGTTAAGACAAGAGTGAGGAGGACATATAAGACATAAAAATTTAACTTTTGTTTATATGGGTTTTGAATGTTGAGAGTCATCAACATTAACTTAATTTTAATAGCCTAAATATAACTGCAAATAGAAAAGGAAAGCAATATTCTAATACTATTACTGATCCAGGATTTAGTATGCAATTATCAAGCATGGACATCAAAAGCTTCCATTTCACCTCTATCCTTTATTTGCCCCGTGGTTATTACCTGGCTGGTAGCATCCAAAGAAAGAATGATTATGTCTTTCTTAATAATTCATAAGATAGTCTCTTAGGTGATTAAATAGGATTCCTTAATAGACAGTGATTTTGAATACAAAAAGAAAACATCACTCCAAATTAGAAAATAAAACACATGGTTCAGAAAAATCAAAAGAGGACAGATAGCTATCTGAATTTCTGTGCTGCTATAGTAAGTAGAGAAATATCAGGACGGCTAACAAAAATTTTAAAAAATAGAAAATCCTTTCATTTTTTAAGATAACATAGAAAGGAGTTATTAGCTAAAATGACCAAAAGCCATTCTTACTCAGAACTGTCTTGGTTTATTTATGTTGTCCTGGCCTAATTATTAACATTCTGAAAAGTGTGGTTAGGAGGATAAATTACACAGTCACTTAGCCCAGAGTCCTAGCCATGTGCTGGTGGGGCTGAAGAGACCACAGAGCCAGTCACCAATATTGAAACACTAGGAGGGAGAGGACTAAATGGACTGACATTCTCCTTGAGTCTGAAACGCCATGACTCCCTTTATATGGGATTGCTTCTATATGGAAATACAATCCAGAGTGTCTAATATTTAACCCTGGTGAGAGGGAGACCAGTAGACCAAATATCTAATATTTCTTTTCCAAATGAGAGCTGTAAGTTCTATCTCTGAAATGCCTGATGCTCACATTGTCTTCTTTCAGAGATTATAAATCTGCTTCCCAGATGCTGGGCCTATGAAATCCCCCTACAGGAGGTCTCTTTTTTCCACTTAGTAGCACAACATGCAGCATAACCAAAACAGGAGATGCAGCTACTCTGAAGCTGTGACCGAGATTCAAGTTCACGCCAGCATTTTGCTCAGAAAGACTGTCTGTGCCAGGATGCTGGGTGAAGGTACGGTTTGTCTACCACTATCTCCCGGTAAACCAAACCTTGGGGACATTGTTTACAAGGGGTACATCATTTCTTTTATCAACTCTACTCACAATTGCCTCACTTCATTCCTTCTTATTCACTATGGCAATGCTCTTAATGTGATCTTTTTTTAGGTATTTATACTTTGTGTGTGTATGCTCGGTCGCTCATCCATGTTCAACCTTTTGCGACCCTGTGAACTACAGCCCACCAGGCTCCTCTGTCCATGGGATTCTCCAGGCAAGAAAATGAGTGGGTTGCCATTTCCTACTCCAGGGGATCTTCCCAGGGATGGGACCTGCATCTCTTGCATCTCCTCCATTGGCTGGTAAATTCTTTACCACTGTGCAACCTAGGAAGCCCCATTTATACTTGACTCATTTCCAAATAAAAGTGTTTCAAAAAGAGGTGAGTAGGAGATAAGACTGTAAAATTAGAAACAAAATGTAATGTTAAAATTATGGGGAAAAAAGTATTCTAGTATTACTTAGCATTCTACAGTGTGTTAGACACATGGCTAAGCAATTAAAAAATGTTTCACGTGATTTTCACAATAATCCAAATGGTAGATATTATCCTTATATTAAAGATGATGAAAGTAAGGCTCAAGAGCTGGAATCTAACTACCAAGCTACATAAATATACAAAGAGAGAGTATAAATTCTTAGTAAACTAAACAGGAGAGAGAAGTAATGATCGCGCTTGTGCGCTACATTTATATGAGTTGCCTTACAGGCAAGGCAAAAAGAAATCATAATTCTCATCTGACAGAAGAGAAAAACACATAGATTTACCAAGTATTAAATCACAGGAGGGATTTCTTCCAAGAATGCTAATAAGTATACTGGAAAATGTCTTCGACAATAGCTCACAACACAATGGCCGTTCATAGAACTGCTTCTAAGGTCAATAGAATATAACTCAGTGAAAGAAAAGATTTCTGTTGCTCAGGGGGCTAATCCTGGACTAACAATTAGTAAGTACCAATGTGCTGTAAGATCCCTAAAATTAATATGGTTACACTGTCAAATAAGTTCAAAAAACATTTCATATTATAGAATCTGCTTAGAGATTCAAAACATTTTTAGCCTACTAAAAGTTCTAAAATGCTCTGTATTTAAGAAACTTATATAAATAAGTTAATATAGAGTTTCCCGTTACTGTTATTGCCATCCTTTGGGAAGTCAGGTTGGAGTGTACTGACTCAGAGATACCTATACACTTTCTTTCCTTCAGCTGGTCTTTGAATGAGGATGGGTAAGCAGACAAATTCACAGTCATTCTAACAGGAAATTAGAGCATAGATATTTTTTATTATTGATTGAGGAGAAAACCATAGCTTTGGTGCAAGAGTTTTCATTTGGTATTGAAAGTGTCTGGCTGGAAAAGAACTGCAACTAGTAAAATAAGACGGAGATAATGGATTAAACGATCTTAAGAGCAGATTTTAATTGACACTTAAATATTAGAGATCACCCATAACTTTCATGTTAAAACCTCCAGTTTTGAGCATCTCAGCCTTTTGGAAGCTTACCAGGGAAAAGTAACTATAACATGTACCCCAGGTAATAAACCAACAGATCTGTTAGATGACATTATTTAGAATGAAGCTTCTAAATTTTAGAAAGCTCTTGTCAAAAATGACTTTATTTCTTTAACATAATTAAAATGAGTTTTTATTCCCAGTGATAATTAGAAAGTAGACAATGTATCTCTTAAGACTATTCCTAGATCACTGCTCAGAAACATTGGACAATGTACTTATCTTCCCACTTGCTTCAGCAAAAAAGAAGTTCATTACTTTTATCTTAAACCAGATCTATATAAATATGGAAGGTAGTCATACCACTAGAAACCATGATACTAAAAACCATGTTTTTAAAACATTAATTGTAGGCTTACCATAGGCTTACTAATAGAAGCAAACCACCAGAAAAGGTTTAAAAAGAAATCTTTTAAGCAACTGCATTTGACTTCTAAGAAAAACTCACAATCATACAAAAACATTAGGCATTATCTTCACTCTACAAACTTTAACCATGGAGTGCAGCTCGCCAGGCTGCACTGTCCATGGGATTCTCCAGCCAGGAATACTAGAGTGGGTAGCCATTCCCTTCGCCAGGAGATCTTCCCAACCCAGGGATTGAACCCGGGTCTCCCATATTGCAGGCAGATTTTTTATCATCTGAGTCATCAGATGGAGACCTCAAGGACACATTACATAAGGACACAAACACATTACATATCTACCCCTTTCTCATAGATAAGCCCTTGAACTACTTTTTCCTATTTTCTTCTATTACTACAAATACAGGGTACAATTAAGATTTTATTCACAACACTAACTGTAATGTTTTCTGTTCTCATGGTTGAAAATTAACAATAAAGTATAATAAGCACAAATTAGCATGAAAGACAAAGGAAATTAAAATACTGAATTAAGAAACAAAGGCAAGGAGAGAAGAATTTTAGATAGGGCAAAAAAGAAATTAAGATGTCTTTGACTCAATTCCATGTATAAGAATGTGTATGACTCAAAAACAACTTCAGAGTATATACATTTTCATGTTTTATAGTATTTATATTGACTCAGCACATAAACTGATGAACTAAACCCAATGGTTTTCAGCGGGAGTAATCCTAATCTTGGGAGTTGTATGGGCATTTTATTGAGGTTATTTTTGTTTCACACAATGCTTGGGGAGCACCATGGGTATTTACTGGTCAGGAGCCAGAAATGCTAGACATCCTGCATGCTTAAGAGAGTTCCATACAATGAAGAATTGTTCCAAATCCAACAGGACTTGTAAATGTCTGATCAGACATTCTAGAAAGGTGACAAACTTGTTTATAATTATCTGAGCCTAGAAGTAAACCTCCTTTGTTTATACAACGACATTTTTACGTAACTTTAGTAGCACTGAATTCTCTAGGGAAATTAAGGTAAGATTGCATTTAAGAATTAAATGCTACAATTATTCAATATTTCACAAAAGCATATCACTGAAGCCAAAAACAGTTTTGGTATGTGTATTAACCAATAAAACACATTTTCTGATCTGCATCTTGCAACTTCCCTTTTCACAGTGACTCTGTACAGGTACAAGTATATGACTTCTTAATTATGTCTTCTAGTCTAGTCACGCCTGAGCACTTACACACAAAAGTATATATTATTTTAAGTTATTTTAATATTCATTCTCCTTTATGTTCTAGTTACGGCATTTATATTGATATTGAATTTTGAAATATGTAACTAGGTAAACTGCATTACCTAAGAAATTTCATTTCAAGATAGTAGAGAGGACAATAAAATAACTGTCTTAGAAAGATGGAGTTAGGCCTGAAAGAGCTGAAAACCCCAGATCTAGAACAATGCTACAGTTACACATTCAACACACACATAAGAAAATATTTTAATACACAGCCTGGGACACATCCCACAGAGTCTCACAGTACTACTGAGATAGAATCGGATGTCTAAATTGTTTTTAATCACTGCGGCAGATTTCATGTGCAGCCAACGTTGAAAAACCACTGAGCTAGGCTAAATTAAAAAGGAGGTCACTATATACACAAGATAGATTAAAACTATAAAATACTATTCTATACTTATAATTAAACTATTGCCTTACAGGAATTAACATTTTTATAATAATGAGGTGGGAAAAGGGTTTCTAAAGCTGGACATAAAACCTAGAAATGATAAATGAAAAGATGTATATGCTAACCAACATAAAAATAAATAACTTGTATATCAGAAACAAGAAAACCTAATACCTCAAATATGGTTGAAAAATAAAGAACAAACTAGGAAGACAAAATCTAAACTATGTATG